AGCTGATGGTACCTAGTTGGTTGCCCATATATTTTGCCCCTAGGGATGCTACATTCTACTAATAACTTATCTTAACATATTACTATCTAATATATTAGATACTATCTTGTATCTCATTATCTACTATCTAATCTAACATCTAATACAATCTAATATCTAATCTAATATCTAATATATAATACGATCTAATATATTAGATACTAATATCTTACTATCTACTAATAACTTATCTTAATATCTTATTCTACTAATAACTTATCTTAATAACTCTGACAATCATCTCTGCTTCCCCCACCCTTGCTTGGCTGAATTCTTCTGGTTTCTGGCGGTAAGCGCTACATTAGGCCTTCCAGTGAGACTAGTTCAGTAATGGTCGCCCCTGCTGTCTGCTCTGGTCTCCAGAGCCACCAGCATTGAACCTATTAGTAACACACACTTTGGAGAATTGAGCCTGGGGGGGGGGTCAGTATTTGGGGTGATGTCTGCTCAGATGCTTCCACCCTGAGTGTCAGGGTTGGTCATTTTCTAAAGCGTGGCCACTCTGATGACCAAGTCCTGGCCTGGAGCTTTCATTTCCCTTCAGCTGCAGGATGTAAAGAATTTCTCTGTATGCTTACCTGGGAGGCCTCCCAAGAGGGGCTGCTAAAGTATCTGTGATTACCGATTTGCTTATTTAACACTTAGTTCTTCTGTCTGTTGTTTATATATTTCCTCTCTCTCTCCCCCTCCCTCCATGTGGCTGTGTAGGTATCATAATCTGGAATATATATCTCTAAATGTTCTTAATAGGTCTTAGTCTTTTAATTGTTTAAGACAATTTTCATGCTAAAATAAAATTTGGGCTGATATTTTAAGTTGACAGCTTGGCTTTCTTTTCATTTACATTATGTATCTTATTTCTACACCTTATTCCAGCCATTCCATGTCCATCTTTGTAAATAATAGATTGAGATATAATTCATATAATACAGATTTCCCCCTTTAAAAATGCACAGTTCAGTGGCTTTTAGTATAATCAGAGTTGTGCAGACAACACCATTATAATTTTAGAATGTTTTCATCGCTCCAAAAAGAAACTCTACACCCATTAGCAGAACTGCCTATTTCCTCCTTCCCCCCAACCTCTAGCAAGCACAACCTACATAAGATGCACATATTCTGGACACTTCATAGAAATGGACTCATACAGTGTATGCTCTTTGCGACTGGCTTCTTTACCTTAGCATAATGTTCTCAAGGTTCATCCATACTGTGCATGTAATCAGTGTTTCATTTCTTTTTATGGCCCAATAATATTCCTTTACCCATTTAGCAGGCTTGTTTCCACTTTTTGGCTATTATGAATAGTGGTGCTATAAACATTTGTGTCCAACTTTTTGCATGGACACATTTCCATTTCTTTTGGGTGTATTTTTTTAGGAGTGGAACTGCTGGGTCAAATGGTAACTATGTTTCACATTAGAGGAACTGCCAAATTGTTTAACCAAAGTGGCAGCTCCATTTGTATCCTTTTGATTTAATGATGATACTTGTAGAGAAAAAGTTACTATTTGTTTGTTTTAAAATTGAATCAGTTTCAAAAAAGAGAGAGAGGGAAGCAACCCATGAAAGACTCTTGACTATAGAGAACAAACTGAGGGCTGATGGAGGGAGGTGAGAGGGGGATGGGCTAGATGGGGGGGAGATTAAGGACGGTACCTGTTGTGATGAGCACTGGGTGTGATAAGTGATCAGTCACTCAATTCTACACCTGAAACCAGTATGACATTATATGTTAACTAACTTGAATTTAAATAAAAACTTGAAATAAGAAAAAAGAAACTATAAAACAAACTGAAATCAGTTTCTATCTTTTAAATGAGAGGGAGTTTAACTCATATTATTATAATTATTGTTAAAGTTCGATCAATTTTTTTGTTATTCAAATTTCTTTCTTTTGGTTTCCTTTGCTACCCTCTGTTGTAAAGAATATTCCTTTGCATATTTAAAGCTATGGATTTTATTATTTTTAAAAAAGATTTATTTATTTACTTCCAAGGAGAGAGAGAAAACAAACATGAGTGGGGGGTGCAGAGGGAGAGAATCTCCAGCAGACTCCCTGCTGAGCGTGGAGCCTGACTCGGGGCTCAATCCCACGACCCTGAGATTACGACCTGAACTGAAATGAAGAGTCGGATGCCCAACTGACTGAGCCACCGAGGCGTCCCTCTATGGATTTTATTATTACTCTGAGGCTTACTCCTAACACATTAAAATTATACTTATGTTTATTTTTCTCCATCACTTTTTAGACTTTGCTTCTGTTTTTTTCCTCAGACAATGCAGGTAATCATTCTCTCTCAGCTTTCTTTGAACTGCCACTTCCTCCCTTCCTATCTACTTTATGTTGGAATTGTCTAAAATTTTGTTCTGAATTTTTATATTAATACTTCTGAGAAGTGTTCTTTGCTTACTTTGGTTGCATTAAGTTTTACTAAATTATTTCATCACATCTAACTTCAATATCTCATATAATTCTCCTTAATCCATTTCTTGCAGTATTTACTCCTTAAGTCTCTTGTGTTAAACTTTTTCAGGCTTTGCATATCTGAGAATATGTTTAATTAGCTAAATATACAATGCTTTGAAGATAAGACATTTTTTCCTTTAATCAGTACTGCTGTTGAGAAATCTTGTGTTAAACTGTTCTTATAATCCTTTTGGCTTTTTCTCTCTGGAATTTCTTAGAATCTCCCTTTAATCTTAGATAGTCTTAAATCACAACAAATTGTTTCTTTGCTGAGAAACCGCAGGCCTGAGGCTCAGGTGCCCAGAGCCCGCCTTAGAATGAGGCTAGAGTAGGAGAACCCAGAAATCATCCCTGCTCCCACTGTGAGCCTTACACCAAGTAACAACAACAGCCATCTATCTCCAGGGGACGTGGGGGAGCACAGAGACTCTGAAGTCTGTGGCGCGCCGAAGGTAAATATAAGCAACAATAAAGCCAAGTCCTGGTCCAGACAGACTCAATTCTCCCCACTATTAACTCAACAATCTGGCAGAAGAAAAGGTGTAACCGTTTCCAGGTATAAACTCAATACACCTGTCTCTCCTCTTCCTTTCCCCACAATCTCTGGCATTCAATAAAACATTATGAGACACAAAAATAAGCATGAAAAAGAGTCCTGTTGCCAAGATACGAAGCAGTCAATAGAACAGATCCAGACATGGCCCAGGTGTTGGGAATTTAAAACAGCCCTACAATCAAACTGTTAAACATCTGACATAAAATGAACAGAGAGAGAATTTCAGCAGACCACTGAGCACTATAAAAAGAGAGTCAAATGGAAATGCTAGAAATAGAAATCACAATGACAGAGATGAGAATTCTTCCAATGGGCTTATCCAATGGACTGCATGTGGCAAAGAATCAGTGACTTGGATTATAAATCAACAAAAGTTATTCAAACTGAAATACAAAGAAAGGACAAACAAAAAAATCCCACAAACCAAAAGAACAGAGCATCCTAGAACTGGGGGGCGGGGGGGGAGGGAGAGGAGGAATGACAAAATATCAATATAATACTTCTAGGTGTGAGTTTTTACTTTCCTAATCTATTTAATAGTCCAGGCTCCTATTCAATCTTAGGTCTTATATTTTCTCAAATTCTAGAACAACTTGGTAATTATTTCTTGAAATATTTCCTCCCTTCTATTTATTTTAAAAAATTTCTTTCTGGAGGTTCTGTTATATGGATGCTAAACTTTCAACTTTTATTCATCTTTCAACTAAATACACACCCTCACACAACATAAACATACACGTACGCATATATTATGTAAATGACTACTTCTAGTTAGTTCTGCTGAAGTGCACACAGGCACAGACGCGGTATTTCCTCTCTCTGGCGCCTCGTGCACTGTGACCTGGGAGAGCCCTTGAGCTGTGCTGTCATCCAGCTAACCATGTCAGCATTCAACCATTTACTGTGTTCCTTCTCCTAACTCCTCTTGCCTTGTTTCTAGTACTCCCACTTCCCTGGCTTATGCTTCTGATGAATTTAGAACTGTGCATCTGGAGGGGAAGTGGACACTCTTCCAGGCAGGAAAGTTGTGCGCTAACAACTTGTATCCACACTGACACTGCTCTTTTTCAAATGCAGTCTCTTTCTCTTAATACTTAGACTTTAAGACGCAAAGGGGATTGGCAGTGGGAAGAAATATGCCTGTAGCTGTTCCTTAACCTAGTCAGGCGTCACTGCCAACACGCTATGTTCTTGCAGCCTCTATCTAGCTGGGCTGTGGCGTGCTGACCCGCAAAGGGAAGGCCAATGGTCCGCTCAGAGCCGTGCGAAGGGGAGAGGCCCACGTAAATATTCTCCCAGCCATGGTATCCAGCTCTCTTCTGCTCAGGACTGCTGCTCCCCCAACTGGGACCTTAACCATTTGTCGTCCCAGGAATTTCTCACAATGTCTGTTAGTTTGATGGATCACAAACTGTGTTTTAGAGGCAGAGTTGGGAGCCTGTACTAATTACCCGTCTCGTTGGGAGCCCGACAAGAACCAGTGTCTGAAGGTAGGCGTCCTGAGTCCAGAGACTATGCTACACTATTTTCTGAATCTTTTGCTCTCACCTCACGCTACTTTCCACGTTTACACCTTTGCATGATTACAGTTTACACCTTGGGTTCTGGACACATCTTCCCCACTATTTCTACCTCTAAGAATCTTTAAAACACATCAAAAGCATTCTTCCCTAATAGAGACCCTCTTAGGATTCCTTATACTCATTTTTCTTGTGACACTTCAACATATGATATCACTTTACCTTATTGATGTGCTCCTTTATAAATGGTTTCTAGTTTGTTCCATGTGCATGTCTGCTGTTGGTCCCAACAGACTAAAAATTCCCAGTGTTCCTTCCTTTGTTTTCTTTTATAAAACTCAATAGAAGGTGATGAATATAATTGGCATTGATGAGCTGGGATACAAGACCACTAACATAAGGGGGAAAAACTCACATTTTCCAAAGCCTCCATTTTTACCCATGAAGTCAAAGAAAGCATCAAGAATTCTGCACAGAGTTATAACGATCGTTATGCCTTGGACAGGAAATGGCTGATATTTCTGATACTTCTTTATAAACTGTAGTCCATCTGCAACACTATTTTTCATCATGAATTCAAGACAACTCACTCCTGTTTGACTCATAATTTTAGAAGTTTTCAGAAGCCATGACTTCATATAAGGCTCCCATCCCAAATCAACAGGATCCTAACAATATAAAGCACAAGATAATTTTATGTAAATAAAGAAAAATAGTGTGTCCATCTTCTTTCTTACAGTCTCTTTACTTCACCACTGCCCCCGGCAAAATATGGTTCAGAATCATCATTCGTTAAAATGCAACTGATCAAAACAGCTTAAAGAATGACCTGTCTCAACCATAAGAGACTTTTCATCATAGGAGACAAACTGAGGGTTGCTGGAGGAGCGGGAGGTCGGGGGACGGGGTAGCTGGGTGATGGACATGAAGGAAGGCATGTCATGGAATGAGCACTGATGAATCACTGACTCTACCTCTGAAGCCAATAATACATTATATACCAATTAATTGGATTTAAAAAAAAAAAAAGAATGACCCGTCTCTGAAACGATGTGTGGTTTGTGAGCAGTCTTACAAGACTAGAAGCAACTGGGGGATTGCGCGGAGCGGGGAGCGCTGAGGTTCTGCCTCCGTGATGACGGGAAAGGCAGCATGTAGCTTCGCCACGGTGAGCTAAACGGGTCAGAACACAGGGCTAGTCATGGCTGGTAATTAATGTCCTGGAGAGAAGAAACTTAGTCTTTGTGTCTTCCATCCCCCGCACCAGGGTACTGGGTTCCGCAAGGCCTGAGGGTCAGAGAGCACGAGCGAAAAGGCTTTGGGGCAGTCATTTCTCTCCTGGAGAAATAACCCATGCCCGCGGCCTGGCCTGCCTAGCGAGGGCCGCACTCGTTCGCCGCTGTGGGGAACACGGACCCTGCAGGTACGGAGCAGTAGGAATTACGCTCATACTCACTTCTGGGTTAGGAGGCTTCAGGGGACACAAAACTGAACCACTGCGATCACCCTGCTGAGTCCAGGGGCAATGACAGAACAATCATCAGAAATGCTGTAGATAATGACTAACAATACACTTTCTTTAAGAAATGTGTTTTTGGAAACTTACCATATAGACCATTGCGCATCGGCTGATAGTAGCAGGACTGGCTTGAGAGAGACAGTCCACTTCAAAAATCACTCGTATTTTATTAGTTAGGGCAATTCTCTCGCTGTTTGCCAGGCATAATGTTCTGGTATCATCCAGCACAGAGTTTAGATTTTCTACCCAGAACGTATCCACCGGACCATCTAAAATAATCCACTGCCAATCGTAGTCTGCAGAGAAAGATATTTTTAAGGTAACTGAGAATAATCTCAGTCTTCTTTTATTACAATCTTGCAAATTTTCTATTTCGTTTGGAAAATGATATCCTAGAAAACACTAGACCGAATATGTTTATATGCAGTCTCTAATATTTAATAAATAAAAATAACTATCCACAGTATATAGTTAGTAATTCTTGAAACATTGTTTCAATATTCTTAGATTACTGCATTGTATAATCAGCCCTTAGATTCTGGATAAGAGAAGATCCACGGATTTCTCTTTTCCATAATAATGTGGTTTGTGAGTTTCCCCTTCCACCTGGACACTGTGCGGATGTGCCGCCTCTGGGAAATAGGAAAGGGAAGCAGACGCCCTTCAAGGAAAGACTCAAAAAGATTTCAGGTAGCTCACACTGTGACCCCACTGATTCCTCTTTCAATTGCTACAGGCACCGCCCTGGCTCCACAGTTCTAGAAAACCCACTGGTCAAGCTAGGGGAGGAACGTGTGGGTCACTGTGGACATAGAAAATAGTGAGCCACCTGAAGGACATGAGAGCCCAGCAGAAGAGGGAGGACAGCCAGGATGTGGATGGTCGGACTGGCTGACATAGGTGCCTCGGGGCCTGTCTTCAAACCCTGGAAGGGAGCTTGCTGTGCTCAAGGACTATGCTCCCGAACCTGAACCCCAAGAAGGGACACACAACAATGGAGGACTTCTGGAAGCCTCTTTCAGCACGAATGTGTGGCTAGAGGGTCACCATGGGGCCGTGAAAGCACCGGTGGGGGTGGGGATGGGGCTCCAATAGCACCCTGCCCCCTCCTCTGGAGCAGAACCCCCCTCCCCCGCCCCGCACAGGCTCTCCATCCCCCGCACACACACAGCAGGTGTGCAACTGTTTTTAGAGGAGAATGCTTGGGTTGTAGTACTTGGCCTGGAAATACGCACACTGTCTCAAGTCCCACTTCAGAGGCGACATTAGTTAGGTTTCCACACAATGTCACTTCTAACTTGAATATCTACTTGGTTCTTGGGAGATATTAATGTTGCTTTAGAAACTGAAAGGGTTATATGAGACCTACCGCTTCTATAACAGAATTGTAGATGAACATACCATAGTATGTGGTAACAGTCCCCAAATTCTAAATAAACAAATTCAGAAAAAATACATAGGAAAAGAACAAAATATCATTAATCAAAATGTTTTTAAAGATAGTAATAAAGTTCATTTGGTTCAGTTTGTCTTCTCAGTTAATCAATCACTTTATTGAATCTAATAATAACACTTACCCTGACTTTCTGGAATGTTAACATCTTTCCCCTCCTCCTTCTCAAATATATTAACATCAGTATCTGCTGCATCAGAGAAATCAAGTTTGAAAACCTAAAATATGTAATCAATAATGTTAATTTGATCATACTTTCCAAGTCCAATGGACTATATGTCAATATGCTCTCTTGAGTATAAAAACGGGAAAGTCTTAATTATCTGGCGGACTTTATTATTTATCTCCTCAACAGGGTTGAGTCCCATATAATCAGCTGGTTAGCACTGGTTTTCTTTGCCCCCAAGAGTAGGGGAAGCCGACCAAACACTAGAGCAATGCTTTGGGCACAGAGTGGGCTCCACAGAGAGATCACACAGGAGTGAGCACCACGCTTTGGCCCAGGCCTTGTAACTCAGCAGATGGTAGCCAGCCACTTCCAATACTCAAGGCTCATCAGGGACAAGGCTATTTCCCATGATTATTTCTATTGCAAAAGTCTGCACTTCTCAGCCCTGTACCTAAGTCATTATGTTCTACTGCATTTCTTTCTCTAGATTCTTTTTTTAAATGTGGGATTATGGGTCAAATGTTCTCTGGATTTTAGTCTTTAATAAATTCTACTGGATTTCTTTTTGAAAGTTTGTGACAATAATACTCCCACCAATAAGATGTAGGAATGTTTGTTTCTCCACATCTTTCATTCACACCAAATGTTTCAGCTATTGACATTCTTATGTTGTGAAAACCTGATGAGAAAAAATGTGACGCCTATCATTGTTACAATTTTTATTTTTTGACTGATACTTAGGCTGAGCATTTTTCATATGTCGACAATTTTCATGTGTTCTATCAACGTCCTATTCATAGCCTTCCTCATCTCCCGAGCTGTTCCATCCTTTCTTATTCGCGCCTATTTCTTACAGCACCTCATCTACAGCAGGGACACTAACTCCTATAAGATGCTGTAAATATTTTCTTCCAGACTTTGGTTTGCTTTAACAAGAAGCTGTTTGTTGCAACTATTGAAAAAAACATTTTCTTATACTTACAGTCAAATAATTTTATCTTCTGTTTATGATTTTTGGGTTTTCCCAGTTTTAGTTAAGGTCTTCCTAATTCTAAAACTATGTCCCTAAATATTATTATGTTTTTATAATTTCATTTTTATATTTAGTTGGTTATTTCATCTGGAACTTTTTAACTTCCTTCCTTCCTTTCCTTTCTTTTTTAAATTTATTTGACAGAGAGAGAGAAAGAGTGAACAAGAGCAGGGAGAAGGAGCAGAGGGAGAGGGAGAAGCAAACTCCCTGCTGAGCAGAGACGCCAATGCAGAGGCTCGATCCCAGGACCCTGAGATCATGACCTGAGCTGAAGGCAGACGCTTAACCGACTGAGCCACCCAGGTGCCCCTAGAATTTTATTTCTGGGTAGGGAATGAGGTAAGGGTCTTTCTATGTTTTCACATCAGGAAATAGCAAACTATATAAACAGTGAATTCAGTAAGAAATGCTTTTCCTGCTGATTAGAAATATTACTTCAGTAGCATACTAAATTCCTATATATATCTGAATGTTTCTGGACTCCATCTGGTTCCATTTCTGTGTGAGTATGTTCCGGGGTTTTTATTCAGGTTTTTTTTTTATTAAAATGTTTTATTTATTTATTCATGAGAGTCAGAGAGAGAGAGAGAGAAAGAGGCAGAGGCAGAGGGAGAAGCAGGCTCCCCGCCTAGCAAGGAGCCCGATGCGGGACTTGATCCCAGGACCCTGGGATCATGACCTGAGCCGAAGGCAGATGCTTAACCATCTGAGCCACCCAGGCGCCCCTTTATTCAGGTTTTGAAAAGTACTATCTTTTTTTTTCTTTTCCTGAAATATACTCAAAACTCAACATTACATTAGTCTCAGGTATGCAATATAATGAATTCAATATTTGTGAAATGATCACCACAGTAAGTCTAGTTAACATCCGTCACCACACATAGGTAAATATTTTTTTCTTGTGGTGAGAACTCTGAAGACCCACTTTCTTACCAACGTTTGAATATACAATACAGTATTATTATTTTTTTAAGATTTTATGTATTTATTTGCGAGAGAGACAATGAGAGACAGAGAGCATGAGAGGGAGGAGGGTCAGAGGGAGAAGCAGACTCCCTGCTGAGCAGGGAGCCCGACGTGGGACTCGATCCCAGGACTCCAGGATCATGACCTGAGCCGAAGGCAGTCGCTTAACCAACTGAGCCACCCAGGCGCCCCACAATACAGTATTATTAGCTACGGTCACTGTATTATATTGTACCTCACTGTTTTGATTACAGTATGGATTTGTTCTAAAATTAATATAGAACATTTTAGAAATACAAAAGCACTACAGTTTTCTTCCCAGATTTTTTTTTGAACTCTTGGAACATTTATACTTCCTAATGAACTTTAAAGCCATTTTGATTTTTTTAAAAAGGGACTTTGCTTGGAAAGGCATTATATCTATATATAATTTGGTATAGATTGGCATTTTTAGGATGGAAGTCTTTCCATACAGGAATACAGTATCTCTTTCATTTATTCAATTTTTGCCAACTGTATAGGTATTCCTGCCTCCCTCCCTGCTACGCCCCCCATGACAAGTTCCTTTCTTTTACATTTATTCCAATATATTTTTTACAGATTTTTGCCACTGTTAGCAGAATTTTTCTTATTTCCATTTCTAACTGGTGACAGTTAGTATAAAGAATTTAATTACGGCCACTTTACTATATTCCTTCTCTATCAATTACTGAAAAAGATTCAATAAAATCTCACGCTAAATGTGATTTATCAATTTCTCTACAAAATTCTGTTGTTTTCTCTACACATTTTTACATTACGTCATAGGCACATAATAGTTCAGAACTGCACCAATAGTTCAGTGTGCACCAATAGCACACTGTTGTACCCCAATTTTACAATAATTCTTGACATCTGGCAGATCCAGATTCTTCCCCTTGTTTTTTTAATTCAGGAATATCAGGGACCTTGGTTCTTCTATACACATTTTAGAATCAGTTTGTCAAGGTCTTAAAAACTACTTTAGCTTTCTATTTCAAAACTTAATGCAAAGCTCCAGTAATCAAACGTGGCATTTGCATAAGGGTAGACAAAGATGAATGGAACAGAATTGAGAGTCTAGAAATAAATCCCTACATTTATGGATCAGTTGATTTTGACAAGTGTGACAAGCGTGACAAGACAATTCAACATGGGAAAGAACAGACTTTTCAACAAATAGTTCTGGAACAACTGGATATTCAGATGCAAAAGAATGAATTGGGATCCCTTCCTTATACTGAACACAAAAATCAACCCAAAATAGACCAAAGACCTAAATATAAAAGTGAGAACTATAAAACTCTTACAATAAAGCATAGAAGAAAGTCTTTTGACCTTGAATTATACAAAGCTTTCTTCAGATATGAAGAAACAAGTGACAAAGGAAAAAATAGATTGAACTTCATCAAGGTTAAAAACTTTAATGTTTCAAGATGGCGGAGGAGTAGGAGACCTGGATTTCGTCTCCTCTCAGGAATTCAGCTGGATAGGGATCAAACCATTCTGAACACCTACAAACTCAACAGGA